GGGGGGGCAGCAGCAGGAGGAGCCAGCTCTTTTAGGTTGTGACTCCATGGGGCTTGAACCCTGTGCGGACCTGTGTGCTGTGTGAAAACAGCAACCTCCCCATCTCCCCCACTCCTGGGCAGAGTGCAGGCCCCCAGCGTCCCCCACTCCCAGGCAGAGTGTGGGCCGCTCTCCCAGTGGCCTCCAGTCTTCACTTAACCTGGGGGCTGGCAGGTGCGGGGCCATCTTGGAGCCACAGAGGTTGGAGGGAGGAGGCAGGGGGGAGGAGGCTGCTCCCAGTGCATGCTCCCCCCTTCTGGAAATTCCATCCGCTCTCCCAGCCCTGAGGATTGCAGGAAGTGAGGCCACAGAAAGCCCCAGTGCAAGTGTCCCAGCTCCCCTGCCCTCACCCAGGAAAGGTTTCCCAGGCTCTGATCCTGAGGCTGCCTTTAGGCGCTTCTGGGGCTCCCCTCCAGCTAGGGGATCCCCCATCCCACTCCACCTCCAACACCCGTGGCTCTGAGTCCTGAGACAACCTTACCCCTCCTCCCTCCCCACCACCCTGACCTGTCCAGCAACTCCCCACTAGGGCTTAGCCCCTCTGGGGTGATCTCCCCCCCACTGCCCTGTTAGGGGCAGACACCCGGCACCCCAAGGTCACACACCCCTCCTCCCAGAGCGCCCCCCCTCAGCCAGTGCTCACCCCAGCCCCTGCCCCGACTCCCAGAGTGTTGGTGACTCATACTTCCTCAGAGCGTGGGGCTGCCGTGCGGGCTGGGGCTCTGCTGTGTGCGGGCTGGGGCTCTGCTGTGTGCGGGCTGGGGCTCTGCTGTGTGCGGGCTGGGGCTCTGCTCTGTGCTCAGTGCGGGCTGGGGCTCTGCTGTGTGCGGGCTGGGGCTCTGCTGTGTGCGGGCTGGGGCTCTGCTGTGTGCGGGCTGGGGCTCTGCTCTGTGCGCAGGCCCCGCATGTCCCTGTGTGTGACCCTGCAGGCGGGAACACATCCTGGCCATCCTGGCCCTGCGCAGACTGGGCCGCAGTCGGAACCAGAGTCTCCTGCAGCACGCGCAGAACCTGCTGCGGACCACGGGGTCCACGCGGGGTCACGTGCTCTTTGAGGAGATCGAGGTGTCCACCTCCATGGATGTGCTGGTCACCTGCCTCTAGCGCTGCTCTGACCGCCCGCATCGGCGCCCCCTCACTGGTGGGGGGCAGTGGACTGAGCCCCAGCCCCGCCCCCTGGGATGCCGGCATGCATGGAGCCCCGCCCTGCGTCATGCTCAGCTGCCCGGCCAGGAGGAGGCAGGGATGAGAGTGTGTGAGGCATTTGTGGGGGTGTAGTTTGGGGGAGCAGCACTGCCCAGCACCACCCCCTAGGTGGGAAAACCAAGAACAGGGTATTTACTCTAAAAATAAAGGTGGATTGAGACGGTGCCTCCCTGAGGAAGAGGTGGGGGGGGAGGGGAGGCGCTGGTCCCATACCCGGGCTGTGCCGGAAGGGAGGCTGCATGGCCCCAGGCCGGCCGCCGTGGGACCCGAGGCCCTGGCCGAGGCTGGAGAGCACAGGTGCGGGGCCTTGGCGCCCAGTGGTCCCTGCCCTGGGGCGGTGGGTGGCGGTGGGCATGGCGCTGCGTGCCAGCAGGCGGGGCCCTCAGAGGCGGTGCGGCCGCAGGGCTTCCGGCTGGAAGTTGTCCGGGTACTGAGGGGGGCTCTGTGGATGCGGTGACTTTGGGAGCACCCAGCACGTGCACCTGCAGCCCCGCCCCCCACTTTTCTCAGCCCGAGGCTGGGCTGCATTGGCAGCCTGGGCTTCCCAGGATCTGAGAGGAGGAAGGGATTTTCCTCCGTCCATTGAGGGAGGCTGGCTAGATGGCAGCTCTCCACTGCCGGGAACTGCCCCTGACGGCTGGAGCTGGGAGCAGGCAGTTCATCCAGGCCAGGCATGGCTAGGCAGGGCAGGAAAGGCTGGATGGGGGGGGGGCGGACTGCACGCTCCAGGCCTCCGGGCTGTCAGCATTCAGATCTGCGACCAGCGGCGGGGGCGGGGCTGGCAGTGCAGCCCTGCAGGAAGGGGTGCACTAGGCTGGGGGCCAGGGGCAGGTACGGGGAAGACCCAGACCTCCCTGTGGTGGGGTGAGGCAGGCAGGACAGGAATGAGGAAGTCAGGAGGTTGGGGTTCCCAGGGCTCAGGGTGGAGGCAGGGAACGTGGGCTAATCCTGACATGGAGCCCTTGTGCTGGTGGTGGAGAAACTGAGGCAGACAGCAAGTGGACTTGGGGGGTGAGAGGGACACCCCTGTCCACAGATGGACAAGCAGCTTCTCCTGCGTGCCCCACACAGCCTCCTGGTTGGGTTCACGGGTGCCGTGGGCCAGATTGCACCCAGATTTCCCCCAGAGCCCCAGCCGCCACTGGCCCTCACCAATCTCCCTGCCCCCGCCGAGCATCTGGCCCTACTGGAGCCCTTGGCCGGGTTCTGGGGCTGGGCTTGGGGGGGGGGGGCGGGCGCAGAAACAGCTTTTTTTGTTGTTGCATTTGTTTTTGTTTTCATGTCAGGCCAGAGCTTGAGTTCAGAACCTGGGTGTGCACCTGACTTTTTTCTTTGCTCAAGGCTTGCTCTCTACTACTTGAGCCACAACTCTACTTCTGGCTTTTGGGTAGTTCACTGGAGATAAGAGTCTCATAGACTTTCCTGCCCGGGCTGACTTTGAACTTCATCCTCAGATCTCAGCCTCCTGAGTGATGACAGGCGTACAGTCCTGGGCTCCGGCTTTGTGGCTTTGTTTTGACTCACACTTCCCAGCTGTGAGTGGGAGAGGCACATGATTAGCATCTCCCAGGCTTGGGGGGGCAGTTAAGAGGGTGGGACCCCTCTCCCTCCCCACTGCGCACCCCACAAGTCCCAGGAGGTCTTGCAGAAGCTTTGGGTATTTCCTGGACCATCGTGTCCTCCCAGGAGCCCGGGCCACAGTCTGACAAGGTCCCCCGGGGTGGGGACACTGAGTGTCCAGCAATGCACGCGGTGATCTGGGGTCACGGGATGGGGAGGCCCCTGAGGGGGGTCTCCAGGCCTCTAGAGTGCCAGAAGCACCCTGCGCACGGCTGGCCAGGACACAGCAGGGCTGGGGGGACCAGGCTGAGCTGGAGACTCGCCCTCCCCCCACCCCCTGCACGTCCAGGAACTGCCCACGTCACACCTGGGGGTGCGAGAGGCTTAAAGAGCAGCTTCTGGAGGTGCGGGCAGTTAGTGTGTGACTCGTGTGTGTGTGCGCGCGTGCATGCACATGCGTGGGGGGTAGGACAGGCCTGCATGTCATGTTGCACACGTGGTGTGCATGTGGGGGTAGAGCAGGTGTACGTGTGTGTGCACATGTGTGTGCATGTGGGGTAGGGCAGATATGTGTGTGTAAGGTGTGTGTGTGTAAGGTGTGAGTGTGTGTAAGGTGTGTGTGTAAGGTATGTGAGTGTGTGTAAGGTATGAGTGTGTGTGTAAGGTATGGGCATGTGTAAGGTATGAGTGTGTGTAAGGTATGTGTGTGTGTAAGGTATGTGTGTGTAAGGTATGAGTGTGTGTTGTGTAAGGTATGCGTGTGTGTAAGGTATGTGAGTGTGTGTAAGGTATGAGTGTGTGTAAGGCATGTGAGTGTGTAAGGTATGAGTGTGTGTAAGGTATGTGAGTATGTAAGGCATGTGAGTGTGTGTAAGGCATGTGAGTGTGTGTATACACTCATTTGTGAGCTTTGCCCAGCTGTCGTCAGCAGGCCCCACCCCTGCCTGAGCCCGCGGTCCCGCCCCCTCCCAGGCTCACAGGGACACTCCAGGACCCCCGGGGCCTCGTGCTCCGCCCCTCACCCCTGCGGGCTCTCTCTTTCCTTGGGTGGCACTGCCCCTGCTCTTGGCCCCTGTGTGTGTGTGGGGGGGCGCCCTGGTCCCCGTCCAGTCCAGCGGGGGCGTGGGGAGGCCCTGCCCTGCTGTTCCCATCCTCCGCCCACCTGAGATGTGTCCGGGCCTGGGGGCGATGGCTGCGGCCACCCCAGGACTCTGTGTGGCCAGCGGGGCCAGCAGCCTCCGTGACCCCCCTTCCTGCATGTGCCTCTTCCTCCAGGCTCCGCTGTGCCCCCAGCCAGCAGTCTGAGTCACCCCAGTGTCCTTGCCCGGTGTGGCGGCCGGGGTCCCGTATGCCATGCCGGTGGCCGCCTGTCACCTCCGCAAGGGAGGGCGGCCTCGGGGCTTCCTTCCTTGCCTGATGACCCCAGCTCCTTCCTTCCAGCCCCAGTGCTCAGCAGGCCTGGAGGAATGGGGGACGCCTCTGTGCAGGGGGACACCTCAGTGCTGGACTGTGGCTCCTGGTACACCTGCCCAGATGGCGGCAGGGGGCTGGAGGGGGCTCCCAAGGGTAGCCCCCATCTTCAAGATTCCTTCCTTTGCACACACACACACACATGCATGCACGCACACAGGCACGCACGCACACAGCAGCCCCATGGAAGTGCAGCACACAGTAGGGCTGGCCTGCCAGGCCCGCCGTCCACCGCCGTCCACTGCCTAGGGGAGGACGGGACGGGTCCCTTCCCCAGCCATGTGTGCGGGGCTGGGCGGGGGTCTGCTGACCACGGACCCTGCGGAGCTCCAGGCCTCACAGATGGGGGCCCCTCCCTTGGAGGGGGAAGTGTGCCAAGGGAGGGGCAGGGGAGAAGGGGGGCGGCTCTGCCTGCCTCCTGGGTCCCCTGCTGGCTGGAAATTCCAGAATGAGATGGGAAGCTGGATGATGCCCAGCCCTCAGCCCGCTGCCCTCCTGGACGGGACACTGCAAGGCCTCCTGCCACGACGCCCCTCCACTTTGCATTTGGGGCTTTTTTGTTGTCCTTGTTTATTTTTTGTGTCTTCGTTTTTTGTTTCTGGGCTTGACCTCAGGGCCTGGGCTCTGTCCCTGACCTGCTTTTGCTCAAGGCTAGCGCTCTGCCACTTGAGCCACAGCGCCACTACCAGCGTTTTGGTGGTTAATGGGAGGGAGTCTCATGAGCTTTCCCGCCCGGGCTGGCTTCAGCTCTCCTAGGATTGTCAGCCTGCAAGCTTACTTAGGGGCAGTCACTGGAGAACCTGATTTGTTTGGGTTGGGGGATGGGACAATTCTCCCTAATCCCAATAAAAACTCAAATGGAGCCTGGCACTGGTGGCTGAATCCTAGCTACTCAGGAGGCTGAGATCTGAGGATCATGGTTCAAAGCCAGCCCAGGCAGGAAAGTCCGTGAGGCTCTTATCTCTAATAAACCTTTAGGAAACCAGAAGTGGAGCTGTGGCTCAAGTGGTAGAGTGCTAGCCTTGAGCTGAAGAGCTGAGGGACAGCGCCCAGGCCCAGAGTTCGAGCCCCACGACCAACAAAAAAACCCTCCAATCATGGGACCTTGGGAAGAAAAGCCAAGTTCCCAGGAGTGCACTGGCGGCTCTGAGTCCCGCTCCTTGGTTGGTCTTGTGCTAGGGATTCGAGCAGCCTAGGCTGTCACTGCGGCCTGTGTTACCTTAGCCAAGTCACTCCACCTCTCTGGGCCACTTTGTGTGTAAAATTGGGAGCATTATTCTAGAAAATTCAGTGAGCTGCGGGAGGACAGTGGGTCCCAGGAGCACTTCCTGCACGCACTGGTTATTTTCCTGCCGTCTCAGCAGACCTCTCTCCGGGCTCTGGGCAGTGTCATCCCTGCCCCAGGAGCCCTGCCAGCCACAGACAGGAGTGGCAGGGACCAGCTGTTCCCACAGCCAAGGCCCTCCCTCGTGCGGTCTCCTCCCACGCCAGGCCCAGGAGGAATCCCCCAGCAGCGCAGCCTGGGAGGGAGTCTGCTTGTGCAAGTTCTCTGGCTGCTTCCTGGAAGTCCTGCCATTCAGGGAAGTGCCCGAGGAGGCCTGAGCCAATGCTGCCTCCAGGAAGCCCTCCTGGGCTGCGCCTCGGGAGCACCAGGCTCACCATGGCCAGCCAAGCCCAGCCTCCTCACACACCCATCTTCATAAAGGGCCGTGGGAGGCTCCCCGCGAGGCCCAGAGGGCCTGCCTCGGGCCTCAGCTTCCACATCTGCCAAACACACAGAGAAAGGGTCTCTGGCCAGGGTCCCTCGTGGGAAGGGTGCTGTCCACCCACCCAGCGTCTCCTCGGGTTCACACACTCCGGTCCCACCTTTGCAGAAGGCATGTCCTGAGCATGGCACCTGGCCAGCTGCCCTGGTCATTATCCTGTGACCCCAGGAGGTCAGCAGATTCCAGTCAAAGCCTGTCACAGCTGGGCACAGCCCAGAGCTGACCCCTCCCCTCCCCTCCCCTGTCTCAGACCCTCAGTTTCCACACCTGTCCACAGGGTACCCAATGGCTCAGCCCAGGAGTCAGGAGGAGTCAGGAGAGGAGACCGCAAGGGTCTCCTGGGGGGGGGGGGGAATGGAGAGGAAGAGGCGGGGCTCTGGCAGAGAAGTGCAAGTCATCGCACAGAGGGAAGTGGGTCTGGTGACAGGAGGGGCGTGGGGAGTCCCAGGCCCTCACCTTCTCCTCCCAGGGGTCCCCCGACAGACAGCACCCCCAGTGGACAGAGACTGGCAGCCCAGCCTTCTGGCACATCTGCAGCGGCCAGGCCCACCCACTCACGCTGCGTCCACAACTGTCCATCCAGCTGCCCCAGCCGGGCGCGTCCCTCCCGACACCGCAGGCCCGGCGGCCGGCCGCGCTGCCCTGCGCGCTGTGCAGGAGGCCGCGGGCTCGGTTGTGTTCTGCGTCGCCCCACAGGGAAGGGTGGGGTAGAAAATGAGTGGAGGGCGCCTCCCGGTTCTCTCTGCGCACTCCAGTGTCCTTGTGTCTGACTTGAATACATCAAGCTGCGTCGCAAGCATGAGCAACATTGGAAGAGACACAATATGGCGCAGTGCAGGTCCACTTCTGACTAGGACATGCCTGGACCTATCTGGGCCTCAGTTTCCTCTTCTGGGAAAAGGTGGTGACAAAACAGTACCCACTTCATCTGGTGTGTGAGAAAATCACTTTCTGCTGGCCTAGCAAAGCCTGGCCTTTGTGGAGGCCAACAAAAGTCAGGGAAAAGCCCGGTGCTGGTGGCTCACGCCTGTCATCCCAGCTACTCAGGAGGCCGAGATCTGAGGATCACCGTTCAAAGCCAGCCCAGGCAAGGACATCCCTGAGATGCTTATCCACAATAAACTACTCAGAAAAAGCTGGAAGTGATGTTGTGGCTCAAGTGATAGAGTGCTAGCCTTCAGCACAAAAAGGCTCAGGGTCAGTGACCAGGCCCTGAGTTCAAGCCCCAGGACTGTCCCCTCCCCTCCCCCCAAAAAAGCCAGGGGAAGCAAAGACATGAGCAGATGGCTGCACGCTGCACCCCCAGAACCCCTGTGCTTGTTTAGTGGTACTGGAGTTTGAACCCGGGGCCTTCACCTGCTGGGCAGGTGACAGGTGTGCCATCAAGTCACACCTCATCCTTCCCCTCCTGGTCACTTTGAGATGGGGTCTTGTTTTTGTCTGGGTTCTACACCCAGACCCAGCCCTCCTATTTTCCGGGTTTTGTCTGTGTGTGTGTGTGTGTGTTTTGCCATAGCTGGGGTGACAGACGTGCTCCACCATACCCAGCTTCTTCCCTGAGATGAAGTTTGGTGAACTTTCATGCTGAGCCTGCCCTAGAACCTCAGTCCTCCAGGTCTCAGTTTCCTGTCTGGTTGTAATGACAGGTTGGAAGGGGTCTTACACACTTTTCTGTGTGGGCTGGCCTTGAGCCACAGTCCTCCTGATCTTGGACTCCTGAGGTACAGTTAATCACTGCAGCTGTCTGTACTATTGCTATTCACAACAGCTCAAAGCAGGAAGCAATACCAGAACCCACAGAAAAAGAAATAAATAAACAACTTGTCTGTGTATACAGGAGACTATAACTCAGACTTAAGCAGGAATCTCAGACCCATGCTACAAGATGGCTAAACCTTGAAGAGGCTGCACTAAAGTAAGCTAGTCACAAGGACAATCACCGTATCACTCCACCCACAGCTGACTGGGGGTGACCAGGAACTGGGGGAAAAGGAATGGGGTGTTCCTGAATAATGGGATAGAGTTTCAGTTTTGCAAGGGGCAGAAAGTTTCATGGGTGGCTGGTGGTAATGGTTGGTGGGTGCTGATGAACAATTCAGATGTACTTAATGCTTCTGACTAGTGCACTTCAAGTGGGAAATTTCATGTCAAATATGTCTTTACCACAATTAAAACACAGGTGGTACACACCTGTAATTCCAGCACTTGGGCAGTGAAAGGAAGCGGATGTCAAGTTTAAGGCCAGGCTAGACTATAGAGCAATACCCAGTCTCAAGCAAACAAACAAAAGCCCCAAACTTGGTGGTCATCCCATGCTCTTGTGTCCTGGGCCTCTCCCAAGCCCTGGGTTGCGTGCAAGTAGACTGTGGCTGGTGGCCAGCTGCTGGCCTCCAGGACTTCTGGGCTGGGCCGGTGGGCTGTGTCCAGCCCACTGCCCCCTCAGGCCCTGGAGCTGGGGGAGGGATGCAGCAGCTCCTGTGAGTGGCTGCAGATGTTCGCCTTCTGCGGGGTGGGGGGAAGGAGAAGGCAGGGGAGGGGGAGAGGGAGGGGAGGCCTCCCCCGAACTGCTGAGGGGTGCCATGGCTCCCGCCCTGCTGCCCGCACTGATGGCCGCCTGGGCCTCCACAGCGCCCATCTTCAGGTTCCTCTGCGGCTGGAGATTTCACAGGGACCTTTGACCCTGATGCCCGCTCTCAGAGAAGGGAAGTGCAGCCAGCTCTGCCCCTGTGTCCCCGGGGAATGGCTGTGGCTGGCGCCTGCCCAGCCCCCTCATGATGCTGTTCTGCACACAGGTGGGGTCTTGAGGGCCCACGTGCACACACGTGAGCAGAAACACATGCCTGCCTGCACATGTGCACACACATGAACCTCACACATGTACGTAGACACATGAGCACACGCACACACAAGCTGCAGAGCTCTTCAGGAATTTCCCAATTTGGCCCTAGGGTGTGTGTGTGTGTGTGTGTGTGTCTGTTTGTGTGTGTGTGTCTCTGTATGTGTGTCTGTATGTGTGTCTGTATGTGTATCTGTGTGTGTGTCTGTCTCTGTGTGTCTGTGTGTGTATGTGTATCTGTATGTCTGTCTCTGTGTGTGTCTCTGTGTATGTCTGTATGTGTATCTGTATGTCTCTGTGTGTGTGTCTGTATGTGTATCTGTCTGTGTGTGTCTGTGTGTGTGTGTGAAATGGAGGCCCGGCGGGTTGCACAATCGGCCTCAGCCCCAGCGGAGGAGGCTGCGGCCAGGCCTGCCCTCCCCACCCGGGCTGCGGGCTGCGCCCCGCACCCCCACCAGGGCCGGGCTGCGCATGTCCCTGACCTGGGGGCTCCGGTGGTCGGAGGGGCAGCCGGAAGCGGGGTCTTCAGGGCCCCGGGGCAGGCGGCCTCGCAGGCGGGACGCCACCCGGACCCGAGGAAGAGGAAGCCCCGGCCCCGTCCGGGGGAGCCCAGGCTGGGGGGCGGACAAAGCGTGGGCGGAGCCGGGCTGGGGGGGCGGAAATTCCTGGTGACCGACCCCCCTCCCCGCGGGTTCCCAGCTGGTAGGGGAGGGGCCGCACCCCATCCCCGCCTGGAGGGAGGGGTGCGGAGGGGGAGGGGGGTCGGCGCCGCCAGGCCCAGCCCGCAGGCCCTG